ATTTGACCCCATGGAGACATCTTTGAGGGGTCCATGTGACCTCAGTTGACCCCCGTGTCCTCCTTTGGCCCCAGTGTGAGTGACCTCAGTTGACCCCCCGTGTCCTCCTTTGGCCCCAGTGTGACTTGTTTGAGGGGTTCACTCGCCCCCATGTGACCTGTGTGTCCTTAGTTGACCCCAAGTAACACCCGTTGCCCCCCCGAAGGGCCTGGGGGGCGGTCAGCTGGGCCAGCTTGTCCTCATTTGGGTCCGTCTCATTTAATGGACCCTCTGGGGCGCTGGAGCGTAACGCAGTGCGGACCCTGCCAGACTCGGCCGGACGCTCTAGGCTCTCCAGACTCCACGGTGTCTGAGACACACGCTTCAAGGCTGGCAGCGCCTGTCAGAGTCTCACGGGGTCTCGCCCTCTGTAAGATACTCGCACGGGGCCCCCAGAGTCTCACAAACTCCGGCAGGGTATGTTGGACTCCATTAGCACCCATTAGGCCACACAATATTAGAAGTGTGTAATATTATCAATGTATATATAAGTTTGGATTTATTACATATCCTTTATATGTCATATATAATTATATTCTCTAATTACGTAATATATATAATCACAGAAACGCTATGCAATAATTATAGAAGTCTTTTCGAGTCTATAGTCATGTACTAACAGAGTCTGTGAGAGGCAAATGGAGCCTAACGGACTCCAGCAGAGCGGGACTGACGCGTTAGGGTCTACTAGACCCCAACAGACACTGCAAAACCCGTTAGACTCTACCGGATTCCTACGGACTCCCTGAGACTCTGTTCATGGGTGGTAACAAACCCGTTAATGTCGTTCCCAGACTCAAATAGGGCCCCATGGGTTACAGACTCCATTAATCGATTCTATTACAATACGTTAACTCTATCAATAGACTTACGAGTATAAACTTTCTATAAGTCTTTCCTGCCCTCTGTTTGTTAGTGTCCATGATATGAATTAGAATTTAACAGATAATTGTGGCAATAGTTAAAATAGGTACAAAGTCAGTTCCAGTCTGCAAGAGATCCAGGAGACTAACTGACCGTCTCAGACTTGGGCACCCTGAACAAGATGACTGAGACAGGCTTGAGCAGGATATTCTTTTTCAGGACTCACAGAAACAACACAACACAGACGATATGCTACAACAAAGGAAATTTTATTTAAAAATAAAACTTTGTTTTGTTTTCTTTTTACTGACACAGGTGAATGAAATCCCAAACAAAGAAGCTCTTAGTGGGCAGCATACAAGAATGGAAACAATTAATAAATAACATTAGTATAACCTCTAAACATTAACAATGCATTTGCAAACAAAATGAGGACTTTAAACCAAGTGAACCTTAAAGCTCAGCTACTCTCTGTAAGAATATTTACCTTCTGTTTTTCCTTATTCTTTACAGATCTGAAAGGATTAAATACTGCTATTATATTTTTATATTAATGACACTATTATACTTTTTTAAAATATTTTGTGAAAATCTCAACATTTTTAACACTGATATTATACAAATTGGTATTTGTCATTCAAGAGAAAGAACAACTGTTCCTCCTCCCCCACCGGGAATTTCAAAAAAGATTTCTACTAGGAACTTTAAAAATAAGTGTCCTTATTCCCCACTAATTTTTAAAGTGGCACCTTTAAGAAAGTGCCTTGGGAGTTGCATTTTTTCTTGCTCAACCGAAAAAAAACATTTACAGTAATGACCCTGCCTCAGGATTAGCTACAGTAATGTAATCAGTCTAGTGCAGGAAGCAACATGCTGTATTCCGAGCCTGTCTGGCTCCCCCAAGGTAAGGGCTCAGTGAAGGACATGCAGAAAAGCTGTTTACAGTGAAAGCAAGTCCGCTGGTTCCCAGCAGAGACGCTCCCTGCCTCAAGCTGCAGCACTTGAAGAGACAGACACGCAAGGGCAGTGCAGCAGACAAGAGTTACCACACCCCCGGCAGGATACGTCTCGCTTCAGATTCCCATTCAGCTACAGTGGCACTGAACGTACTAAGTCAGCCGGGAACCCTGTTCAGAACAGATGATACTTGCCTGCTTTCCACAGCTACCTGCTGCTCGCTGTGCAGAGGCTCATACTGGTCCCACAGATTTTGTGCCCACCTCTTACTGTACAAAGTGTTTTCTGCTTGCTTTGTGTCCAGGTTGACAGGCAGGGGGAAAACCAGCATTTTTTAGGAGCAGAACTCGTATTTTGTTACCAGCAAAACCAATCCTGTCCTACAATTCTACTGTCTTCACACCAAGCTTAGTACAGCACCAGTCCAGACAAGTCGCTGTTAGTAACAGATAAAGCGGGAAACCTCCACGGTTGAAACGCTACAAAACACAGTGTCATAGTTGAAGTGACAATTGCCCATCTTTCTTGCCCCTTCTCTTCACCCCTTTCAAAGCAGTCTCGCGCTCAAAGGCATCTTTACAGCTTGCCTAGTTCGGGCTCTTCGTTTTCACAGAGGGGTGGATACTCAGATCCAGCCTAGCGATGCAGCATTCTTAAGAAAGGCACTAGACATTTGGGTTTGTTTTTTTCTTTTTAAAGTAGCGTCATAAAGTTAACTTCTTCAGAATAAAGATCAAGGAGGTGAAGGGAAAAAAAGAGAAATCAATCTTAGGCTTACCTTTCTGAAAGAACAACAAGAAAAACACACTGTACAGTGCCTGGATTGACTTCACAGAGCACAGCCATAAGACATGGTCAGGACTCTGCTGCACTTCAGTGGTGCTAGCAAACGCTTACGTGTCTAAGGAAGAAAAGCCAAGACTTAAGTTTCTTAAATCAGTTTGAGACACAAACAGTGCACAGAAAGGACTCATGCAGAAAAATTAGTGATACATGCCACAAAGATTGCTCTCTCTAATCTCTAATACCTGGAACAATACCCATAGGAACGTCTCTCGGTACATAAACCCCAGAGACAGGCCTGTGATAGCTCTGCTAGGCATGATTTAATTTAACATTACAAGCCTGTAATAAAGGGCTTGTATGGGACAGGGCATCACTACTCCGATCACACACACTGTGCAAGACAAGAGTTAAGGCTTTCTAGCTGGCTGGACTTGGGCTCTTACGCAGCCTTGGCAGTGGCAAGAGTCACACGCCACACTTGAATACACTTGCACTGAGTTTACACAGCACGTCAGAAACAAAGTGGCTCCAAACTCAACACGGAGCTAGTGGCAGCACTGGAGAGAATACGAAAAAGAGAGAAATAAAACCGTAGTGCTCCCTCACAAAAGGGTTTTTACCTGGTTCTCCAGGACAAAGCCAGGAACTAACTCTCATACGCTAGGACTGGTTGCTCAGGCTCAGAAGTGTAACATGCAGATCTACTGAGAGAACAACCAGAGCTGCCCCATGTTCCTGCCTCAGCAGCACAAGTGCTAGGCTTGCTTCTCTAGAAGCTCCCACAGACACACTGACCAAGGCTGCCAGGCATAACTGGCAGAGCACTTCACACAGAAGGAGCAGGACTGCTTCACGATACCGCTGACTGTTGCATGTGTGGGCAGGGGAAAAAGAACAGCTCTTCTTCCCCGAGTGCAATATGCACTGACATCACCTTCTCTGTAACTCAGCACCTTCACCAAGGCCAGACACTGCTCTTGGCTGTGCCTGACCTCTCTCTGCACCACTGCAGAGCACCATGCCCACTGACATAAATCTCATCAGTGTGCTGCATTTGCAAGTTTCAGCCCTGGCCTCAAAATAGCAAAGGTGGTGATGGCCTGTAAGTGTTGCAGGAGATCTCCTTACGGTTTCAGAGAACATTTGCTTTACTACAGAAAGGAGGGGAGTAAAGAGAGGCAGTTCATGCTTTTAAACTGCCTGGAACCCACTGCATCAATTTATAAAGCTGTAGATCTAGTGAGAAACCTATACTCTACATAAAACAAACATTTTATGCTTAGTTTCCTTTGCTAATATTTGTTAAGTCCTCTCTGCAAATTGCAAGCCGTTTCTCTGAGATCTGGGCCCAGCTACTAGATTCTTTAAAAGGCGAAACTGCATCCAACTGCCATAATCACTCCAACAATATTTCAAGTTGCAACCCTTTGCCTAGTGACTACTGCTGCCCTTAGAGAGACGCAAATAATGCTAGACATGCTTCAAAAGGCTAATAGCCTCCCAGTGTACACAGAGCACTTGTTCGTCTGTCAGGCTCTGATATGTGCATCCCTACTTCATTTAAACCCTCTCAAAAGGACCCATGCACTTCTCGCACATCAAGCATATAGGAACAGAGTTAAGTAGCTGCGTATGCAAGTCAGTTTTTTTCAAAGTAACAGCTGAGTACTGACTTTCAAAGCTGTGTGATCGTTTTACAAATACAGAAGTTTCCCAGATCTGTTTTAACACAAGCTCTGGCAATACCTTAGAGTAATGGAAACGGAAAGAAGAGCCCCCATGTTGTTTCGATAGCCATGCAGGGAACTGCTGCATTTCTTTTACTGCAAAGCAGGTAAGATACCAACGAATACATCAGCTGCATCTACCAATTCCACAAAACAGCCTGGCACAAAGACAGCTGGCTCCCACAAAAGCTCTCTGAAGGAGATGATGGAATGTGCGTGAAGGCCACTAGTCTGCGACAGCAACCATGCAATTGAGATAAATAAAACATCGTATTTACCAGGTGCAACATTCCTAGAGAAAGAGCACATGGGAGTGTCCAGTGACGGCTGCTCAAGCCCAGCAGGGCCACAATCAATTTTGAGCATTGAAGCACAAAATGCTCAAGGCTATAAAAGGAGAAGCAGCAGCCAGTTCTTTGCTCTCACTCAAATTCTTGCTACCCTCTCCCACCCCTCAAAAACACGCAAAACTTTCAGTACATCTAGCTGCCTGGAATCTAGTGCTGCCGGCAAGAGGACTCATGAGAGAAATCCAACTCCCAGCACTGTCAAGATCAAAATGCCTGACAGAAGCTAGTCATGCTATCTCCAGGCAAAAAGGGAGGACTTGAATCACAAGCAATAAATGCTATTATTACAGGCAAGAGGGAAAGGCCATGGCAAACAGGAAGCAATCAAAAGATTCTTCCAAGGTCTCTTATTTATTCCCAGCAGAAAGTGACCTCCCAGCTGCTCTAAAAAGCCTGAGCCAGACACACAGCAGCGAACAGATCCAAACCTAGTACCATGAACCACAGGACACACCACACCGACCTCGAGACTTTGTTTCTCAGAGGATTCACTTAGAATTCACAGCACAAAACACTCCCCCCAGCCTCCAGGGCATCAGCTCGGGGATCCCTTGTTGCAATACCTTTCTCTACCAACACCCTGGAAATAAATCTCTTCTCTTAAACAAGAGGTAGGGGTAAAGGACTCCAAGACATACACTGTATAAAACACCATTCTGCTCCATTTCATTCCACTGCTTTGAAATCTGGAACCACAAAAACCTGATAACTGATTCTCTTAAGAGGCAGGACTGACCTCAGCACGAAGTCTCTAAAGGAACCCCCTTCCCCTTTGGTGCGTAGCTGGGCTACGGCTGCCCAGGCAGTTGGTCCACAGAAGTTGTAGGTGTGGAGGTAATGTGCTATGTGGCCACATGCGCAGGGGAGGAAATGGAAACAAACTCCCGGAGAATATTCTTGGCCATTTCAATATTGTTATGTGCAATGACCAGTGCTTTCTGAATGTCCTGATATGAGTAGCCTTGGCTCATTAGATTCTCGATCTCACTGGAAAGTTGCAGTGACGCACTGGTCCCACTGCTGGCTCCGCCTGTTTGGCAGCTCCCTGCTTTCCGCTCAGAATTTATTCTCCGTGGTAGCGGCTTCGGCGGCCTTTCTGGAACTTGAGAGCCATCTGAAAAACCTGGAAGGAGAAACAAACACATCACTTCAAAAAAGGACATGTGATTCTTGCTTGGAACAAAGCGGGAATGACATTAGACTGATAAATGGCACTTCAAAAACATGCCACCGAAAGCTACGCCACTTTCTCCAACCAGCCTATCCTCTCACACAATGGTACAGATTAGCTCAGCTTCCCCTCTCGTGTGCAAAAACGGCTATGGAGGTTTTTTTAATTAGGAGGCCACATCAGGCTCATTTATTAAGATAAGACCACATAAATAGACAAGGGATATATGTGTGCGTGTGAGCAGAGCTCAGATATCAGCCTTAGAATAAGAAACAGAGACCTGCTGGGAAAATATGACACACAGAATATGCAACTTCACCAAACATCCCATTTCTTTCTAGAAACAGACAGCAACCCCCAGTTTAACTGTCCAGATGCTGATCTCTCCTCACAGAACTGTTGCCCACATTGCAGCGTGCTGAGGGAGTGTATGCACAAAACCAGATCTATTAGTTACAACTCATTCACCACAATTGCTCCAGCAACTGAATTATGTTCTCTGAAGGGTCTGCTCCTCTTCCTCTGCCAGCCCATCAGCAGGCCAGGGCCACCTACAAGACCTCCTGCTGAAGCTCACCCTACCTAACGGCTGGCTGCTGTGGCAGATCAGTAAGCTCAGCCTGTTCTGCCTTTCCTCATAGTCATTCAGATGTGTTACTTGCCAGTAGCCACATCATGCGCTACTCCCGGGGGGGAAAAAGAATAGCCAATAAACCAGCCAACAAACGCTCCAACACATAGCTTAATGTGTTAATCCAACATCTGATAATTTTTGAGTTCTAACCTCCTGTATCATTGCAGAAAGCATTTTTTCCTACTTTGCAAATCACAAGAAACTTTCCTGCATGAACATTTGACATCACCTTAAAGAAAGTTTTACTTGTCTTCTGGAGAAACTCCTCAAGGCACTCAAGATAGTTTTCTAGCAGTAGAACTGGTGTACGACAGACAAGTCCGTAAGACTAAGAATGTCCAAACAATCCCTTTTTGAGAGTGGGCACTGCAGCACTGGTCAGAAAAGAAGCAGTCATTGTGGAGCCTTTCTGAAAAACTACCAAAAGCACTAAGATAGAGAAGGCTCTTCAGGAAACAAATTCATTGAAGCTTCCTCACCAACCACAATACAGTTCAACTCCCTAATCTTCAAAGTACAAGCTTCTTACACATAAAAAGCTTTTTGTACATTTGAGAAAAAGGACTACCCACTTCTCTCCAAATTGTCTTTTGAAATCGCTGTTTCAGCTTGAACTGGATCAAATTTCAGAGACCATGGGTCAATTTGAAAGGGCAACTACTAGCACAGCTTTTTTTGGTAAATGATTAAGAAACCAAACTGTAGGGCACAATGCATGAGAACATAAATCTGCCAAAATGTATCCCATACTAGTCAGGCTTGCTTAGCACCAGGCTTCAGCAGTAGCCAATGCCCAGTGTTTCAGAAAACTGCATATGCTTCCCAGAGCAGTAACAATCAGCATTTCCACAGCGTTCTTCATTAGCAGATCTCCTAACGCTACAAAGCAGGACACCACCACTGTTATTTCAGGGCTGTAGAAACAAAGAAGGGTCAATGATTAAGCTCAGTACTTCATCTGGGAGCAGGATGTGAGCTCCCTCTGCCCCTTCTTATCCCTGTCAGCCACATTCTACAGACAAAGTGACAGACTTAAAAGGTGAGGCAGGGAGCAGGGAGGAGTGGCAAAAGCTAATAAACGTCTCTGCACTAGTAAACTCTGCGCTGAAGAAGGGCAAGCTCGGGGAAGGGGAAGTGATGAAGCAGGTGAACAGAAGACTCACTGGGGCAAGTGGTCCTGGGTACAGGTGGCTCTGCCTCCCGTCTGCCTCCAAAAGGAACAAGAAACTCACTCCTCTTACCTGGCAAATCGCCAGAGTGTTCAGACATGCTGAAAGCCCCCCAACAGGAAGAGTTTCAGAACTTCCTTTAGAGCTGCTGGGCACTTGTAGGGAATAAGTCAAGCATTATTCAGAAAGGCTCTTGGAGAGACGAGGCTTTGGTTTTTCCCTCGGAGAATGTGCCTTGCAGCCAGAAGGACAAGATGTCCTCTACTCCTCAGGGACAAAAAGCTGACCTTGCTGAGCTACTAGGTCCCTGCTCAAAGGAACTGACAGCATCAAACAGTACACTTGTGCCATCTGCTGGCAACAGCCACAGCCGAGACTGAGCCAGACAGAAGCTGTGCAAGGCCAGCCATGTCACCTTTCGCTTGGAACAGTGGTAAGATGCTTCCCAGAGCATCTGTTCTGAAGTTCTGTTTCATGCCCTGGTACAAAAGGTATGCCATGCCCTGAGGAAACAGTGGCTTAAGGAATATCCTTTAAGCTGAGGAAAGCTTTTCCTAACTGTGATTTAAATGTGATTTCCTAGCTCAGTGATGAAACGACCAAGGCAGTGCATTCCAAGTTGTAAACCAAACTGAACACCTAAGAACCAGTGTAATTCTGCCTTGTAAAGCTGATTTTACAGCTTACATACAAAACCTTGAGTCAGTGACAGAAGTTTCAAACATGCGTAGCAAGCCATCAGTACCCACTACAACATGAAGAGTACAGGTGTTCTCTAACCTGTTACAGGGTCATTTTCCAAAGACATTCGGCTGAAGGCAGACGTGGCATTGGAGATATCAGACAGTGTGCGACGAGCAATAGCAACCGGTAGTGGTGGTTTGGGGATATCATAACCATCATCTTCATTTTCTGACTCTTCAGGGCCGTTGCTGGCAGTGGCTGCTGCCAGATCCCCTTCATCTAGAATAAGAGGTGCATTCTGAGCTCTGGGACTGAACAGAGCCTCTGTCTCTCAAGGCAGACTCTGTTCCCCTGTAGTCCACAAACATTGACAGGACACAGAACTGAAGTTTTGCTGCCAAAACCCCACATTCAATGGAAGCTCTTTCCAGAAGGTAGTATTAGATTAAAAATACTTATGATAGATGTGGGCTGACAACTGCTGCCCAGAAAAAAAAAAAAATCTTCAAAACAGCAGTTCTTTTAACAACTGTTGAGTGTTTTCACAGTGCGTTCCAACCAGGCTTCTCAACAACATCCCCACATGCAGTCTGCAGTACACAGACCCAGATGTTTCCACATACACCCTAGCTGTTTTAGCAGTGAAAGCAAGTAACATTTAATTTAGCCTAAAATGCTGTTCCAACTGGGACTGGGACCAATTCATCGTACCTCAGTTTCTCAGTTGTTTTTTTAGCACACTGACTCACCAGAAGTGTTGACAGTCTCAAAGGCAGAGGATGCTGCTTGGGATTGAATGTTGTACATTGCTTCATACATACAGCCGTCCGTCTGCTGGTCGCAGTCTAAAACTCTGAGGGAGAGAACACATATTTCCCTTCAGACATGCGACAGTGGTCAACCACCACCGCCTAGTTCTGCGAGTGAGATTCTGCACAGATCCCTGCTTCAAAGTGAAATCACCACCGTTCTGTGAAAGAATATTTGTTCCAGAAAATGCTCTAGTAATGTCTATTGCAATACAGCATATCAGCTTAAAAGAGTTTAATTGATACCACCAGAACACAACCTTTTAATAGAATTCTGAATTTCAGTTGCTGCTGCTCTCAAAACATTACTGGCGGAAAGAGGTGGGAGTGGTTATCTGACTCCTTTAATACTCTGTAAGGATTCTGCAAAAGAGCAGTAGTCACATTTCATTTACAGTTAGCTATGTTAGTCTAGATCTGGTGAACACCACTGGGGGAATTCAGCAAATGGAGCAAGCAAAATCTCCACCCTAGTAAACAAATATGCTTTCCCAGAGCTGTGAGGAGGAAGCACAGTACATACAAACAGAATCTCACCGTAAACTCTGAGTCGCTTCCAAAGGCATTTTGATCTCTGGTTTTTGTACAGCAGGACCTGGAGGCACCACAGGCAGAGAGGATGGTGACATGTATTCAGTGTCTTCATCGCTTTCAGACTGTTCCCCAGGAGGCAGTTTTGGTACAGGCAGTGGTCTGGAGGCAGAAGAAACAAGATATAAACATCAGAAAAACATTTATGCCAAATCTAATTAATATCAAAGTGGCCTTTAAAATCCACAGCGGACGTAACAAGCAGTCATCTTATAGTGATTCTGTCTAAAGAAATAACCTGGCTTTCAGGATTCTTAGCAGCCCAGCTGCAAGGTCACACTGGCACAAGGTCATTATGCAAAAGGAAGTTGACAATATCATAAACTTTATACATCACCTACTTCACATAAAGACCAACTCAGAAGTGAATTCATAAAAGAGCTAATGGCATCTGTAGCCTGTTTCCTATTGCCACAGCCAAGGGTAACTACCACCACTACCCACAGATCTTTGGGATGCTGATTTCATCTACTTTCTCTAGATTGTGTATTTTGAATCTGTCAGAGACTGAAACTAAGGCTGACAGAGTTGTGTCAAATTCTGTCCCTGGCACCAGCATGGAGAGAGCCCTACGATTACCATAAACAGCACTTTTGCTAGAAAACAACAGACCTGGCAGCTAAGGAGTAGATCGCATTGGCAGATGAGGAGGGTTTAATTTTGGGGTGTTCACACTCTGGGGTTGTTGTTGGACCACTGTTCAAGCTCTGAAAGAAAAAATTTCAAACCAGGAATCAGAAACACCACATATACCAGTGTAGTTGCAAAGCTATCAGCCAGTCATTCAACACATCCTCTGGGGGAATGAAGCATCTTCATTATTCCAAAGCATTTACTGACACCTTAGAAATCCAGTAGGTCTGTCACAGTTTTCCCTCAGTGAGGGCACAAGCAGGGTTTTTCTCCTGTAGCCAACTGCCTGTTTACACAAAAACTGCAGGAACTTCATATCTTTTGAGACTCTAATGGCTCTGGCAAATTCAGCCAAAATAGGCCAAAAGGCCAAAATGTTAATGGGGGACAAGAGGAAAAGGATGCAGACAAGCACACAGGGACAGAATGACAACTGTGCAAGTGTCATTTTCTTAGCCAATCTGGCTAAAAATGTACTTGCTTTCATTTTTAGAAAGCTGGAGGTTTTAAAAGGAAAAATTAGGGGAATGAAATCAAAGAAAGCAAAACTGCCTGGGATTTCTTTTAGAGAACAATTACGTTGGACTACTAAGTTACACATCACGACATTGGTAATAGTAACAGATCCAAATTAAACTCAGATTTTACTGTGTTAAACTAACCACAGCTACTGTGTGCAGGCTTTACAGGATGGAAAACTGAGAAAATTACACTTTTTCAGCATACCAGCTCCCAATACAAAACATTCTCAGTTTTACAAAATTGAAGTGTGAACAGTGATCATGAAATTGTGGCTTAACTGCTCAAACTGGGATTTCAGCCTTGCTCCCAAGAGGCACAAAAGCACGTCCCTAAGAAGCCCTCCCATTATTCTCCCTTGCCCGGCATTCACCAGTTCCTTTCCATCTCTCCCTTGGCACAAGATCGCCCTATTCAGATGTAAACTATAAGAAGAGGGCACCTTGGAAGACTTAACTCCTCACAAATTACCTTCACCTCCAATAGGCGTACTCACCACTGGGTTGTCCAGGCTGAGCGTGCTCCCAAGCCGATGGCTGTCAGCCCTGGAGTCCATCTGAGAGGGCAAGGAAAAGGGAAGCGAGTGTCTGTTTGACAGTTCTCTCCCAGCCCAAGGGTCACCAGGGCTGAGAGCTACAGATGGGGCTTTTGGAATTGGCCTGGATGGCCACAGATCTGCCTGACGGTTGGAGGGCACAGGGGGCGGTTTGTCTCTCGAAGGACAGTCTCCTGGCGTGCAGGGCAGGGGCCGTCTCTGAGGTCGACCTTCAGTCCCAATGGAATGTGGCCTGTCCGGAGGCGGTGGCGGCGGAAGATCTCTGAGCGTGGGTGGGATCGGCAAAGGTTTATCCTTGTGAAGAGTACCAGGTGCAGCCTGGAAGGCAGAAGAATGTAAAATATTGCTTAACAAAGGTAGTCTATCCACAAAACATAAAAAGGAGGGAGGTGGGTGGCAGCAGGGTGAGTTTTGGTTTTTGTTTTATCTATTTTTACAAGAAATTATCTCAAAGGATGTGGAGATAACTCTCCACATCTCCACAAGTTAACCCTCCAGACACCTTCTCTACAGGCTTGAAGAGATAACGCAGTAACTACGTGCAGCTACAGCTAGGCACTAAACACCCCAGATTGTTTTTCTTGAAGGAAAAAAAAAAGCTTACAGCAGCATTAGATTGGATTCCAAACAAAGGATACCCATCATTTAAAAAAAAGATTCAATTGTGGGTTATTTATACAAGTTAACATTCATCAGTCAGCAATGAATATTCATAGAATTGGGTATTTTCTTCTGCCTGAACTTTCAAGCATGATTTTATTAATTCATCCAAACCAGCTGAAGAACCGCTGCCATACCTCAACAGCCAATGACCAAATGCCACTAAGATCACTCTACTGCCTTCTGCTAGTCAATCAGAAAACCAGTTACTCTCTCCCAGTCACACACATTTCATTCCTTCCTTATTTTTCTATGGAAAAATTTGTGAAGAAAAGAGAAGTTTGGACAGGAATATGACACCTTCCCACATCTAGCCTGCTAGCTAGAACAAAACACAAGCCCATAAATGTGGGTCCAAAGGGCACAGGCAGCAGTGGCTGAGGCTGAAAACCAGTGAAGATATTGGTAATAACAATAACTTGGTAGTTCAACAGGAGGACACCAATCACCTTAAGTGAGCAAGTACTTCAGCTTAGGACCAGCTTCTTTCTAGCAGTTGCATGGATGAATGTGAAGAAAAGACAGGCCCTTTAAACAGCAAAAAGGGACTCTCCTACCATGGATTCCAGAAGGAAGCATTTGCTTTCAGGACAGACTAGGCTCTTGTGGGGAATGGAAGGAAAGTAGCCTAACAGGACTACAGAAAAGGAAGAAGAAAAAGTCTTGTGTGAAAGTACTTAGGGATGTCACAGAGAACACGTAGCGTTCACCAGAATGCTCTTCTTCCTGCCTGCCCCACCAAAATCATAGCTGAAAGGGCAAACAGTGTGTTTGACCTTTGAAGTGGTCCCAGGACTGGAAGCCCCAGGCGGATTGGACACTCGCTGCTGCAAAAGATCCAGTCGTGGTGGCACAGGAGGAAGGGTGGCCTGTGGAGCTACTGAGAACGGAGAAGGAGGACGCTCGACCTGAAAAAGAAAAGAGTGGGGAAAATCAACAAATGACAAAATCCAGCAGAACTCCTTTTCTCTAGAGAGGCTTTCAAGCTCTGTGACTTGTACTGGCTTCAGTATCGCTATCGGTAACAAATTACTGTATTAGTAACAATCACACACCAGTAAATGAAGGCAATTTCACAGCACAACAGCATTTGACTTGCAGCAAGCCTTGACGATCACCAATGGGCTTAGCTGGGGCACACAACTAAAAATGCACACTTAGCAATGGCACAATAAAAGACAAGCTGTTTGGCTGGAGTAACAAACCTGCCTTACTGGGCCCTGAGCAGAAGCAAGCTTCTTTTCTTTTTGACACAAGAGGGCATGATCTGCTGCAAATCCTACTTATCACTGCAGGCACCACTGTGCAAACTACTTCGACTACAGTGTCACGGCTGTTGCAGCAATCACTAGCGTGCACCAAAACCTCCATTTTTGTCCCTGGAAAGCTGTTTTTCCACCTAACAAATCAGAACAGCGCCCTTCTGATTTGTTCTTCTCTTTTTCATAGATGTCATTTTACAAACAAGGCTAGTGCTTTCTAACTTTGAAAAGCTTTACACAGGTTTGAACTCACTAATGCCAACAAATACGAAGTACTAGCCTACTGCAGACCATGACAGGATGTCACACTGAGGAAACTGCTTTGCTTCCCCAAGCTATGTATACAAAAAACTACCTCCAGGAATACCGTTTACTGTTTAGTACACTATATCACAGGGTGGAAGCTAAAGAGAAATATGACCAGAGGTAAACCAGTGTAGAGGGTTTTTTCTGACCAGGAAAGGCAGCTTATTTTAGCGAATTGAACTATTAAAAATTAGCCAAATTCAAACCCACTTCCCTATGCAGTAAAACAATGCTAAGTGCAGATGTGCAAGAGCAGCAATGGGCTTTTAGGAAAAAACATGCAGGGATCCACAAAGAATGCCTATCTTGTACACATCTCCTGGAAGGAAGTAGCACTAATGGCAGTGAGTTATCACACCTTTATTATACAAATTTATCAGACACCATATAAAAAGATGACAGTCAAATTGACTTCCTCAGCAAAATAGCTTGCCCTCTACCCAGTTAGTCATCAGGACTTTGGGAAGACTATATCTGGTTGGCTGTATTCATCCCTGGGGAAAATGGATGGATTTTTGCTGATATGGGTGAACTATGGCTAATAAATCAAAAGCAGCATTGCTAAGCATGCAGAGAAGTGTTATAAACCTAGATCTTACATTCCAATAGGTCAAGCCAGCCTTTTCACCCTTCTAGATTCTTTCAAGACAACACACAAAAGATCAAAGATTTCAAAGTGTGATCACCATTGCTTAATAGAACTGACAGTGTGAACTGAACTGACGAAACTGAACCTAAATCCCTGTTTTCCATACTGAGTAAAATCTTTCCTGTTATAAGGTCTGACAACCATCACACACACAAATCGCTAAGACCACAGAAAACTATGGAGAACATGCAGTCTTTGTACATACTGCCACACCTACTAGCACACACTCTGGTGACCTTACTTTGGTACCAGCGAGTTCTTTCATCATGAAGAGGGAATCATCAGCTCTGTCATCATCATCATCATCATAACTAGGTGAGGGAGTTCCTTCTGCCCCTTGCCGTGATAATCCTCCTCCTCCTCTGGGGTCGAATGGGTCTACTACAATTGGCTCCGTGCCTTTGATTTCACAGCGGCAAAAAGGACAACCCTGGCCTTCTGATTCCTTCAAGGAAGAGAAGAGATCTGTTACAACAGCCACTATGATGCAGAAATTAAACACATAGTTAATATACAAAGAGGTTTAAACCTGCTTTTTGGCAGGTACCTTTCAACTGAGAGGAAGACAGAAAGGCAAACTGTGCTACAAATATGGAGTATTTTCTCTCAAGTAGAAAAACAGCTTTTTAGCAAGTCCTCACATTTCTGGTCTATTCCTAGATTAAGAGATCAGGCATGTAACCAGCTTCTTCCTGTGCTGGTGAAGCTGGCACTGATGCACTGATATTACTGAACTATGAGCTTACATCCTCAGTTATGCTATCTTATCTCCATACCTGAAGGAAACTGAACAGTTTTGAGAAGAGCATATACCGCTTCTGTAAAAAAGCAACTAGCTTCACTCAGAGAGATTAACGAGAGGCAATGCCTCACCTGCCACGCAGTGAGACAGGACGTGCACATCAGATGGCCGCATGGTTCAATCTTCACATCCTTGTCATTTTCAGCACATATTTTACACAGCTGAAACGTGGAGCCCATCTCGCAATACAATTCATATTGTTCCTTGGGAAAAGACAGACAGACATGGTTAATACTGTAAAATAACAAGCATGATTAGTCATAGCTACAAGAAACCCAATGCAAGATTTGCAGGAATAAATAAATTCTAAACACAAGAACACAAAGGAGAACAGAAATCTGCAAAAATTTCACTATAATTTTATGTGCTAGATACACCTGTCAAAGCTCCGAAAAAAGCGGACTTCAAGTTATCCCAGGTTTTCATTTAGGTGTCCCTAGAACAGCCTAGGAAAGCAGGGCTCAAGACATGCTGGATGGCACAAAAGAATGAATATTTGGCAGAACATTCTAAAAAAAAAATCTTAAAATCTGTCAGCCCTGCATAAAGCTTTACCTAACCTTTGCAATCTCCTCTGCCCATTCCTACCATTCAAAGATTTCTGCAACTCCTGTAAAATACAATACATCAGCCTTAAAAACAAGCCTTGGGGATACCAAGTATGACAGAATTGTATAAACAGCTAAGGAGGCTGGAAATTAGAAAGAAAGCAAGCAAGTTTGATGGGATAGAATACTTTGCTCACCTGTGTAACTTTAATGTGGTCCTGAGGTGTGGGCTCACACAAGCCAGTCAAGTCAGGATTCTGATTCCGGCCATCGGGAAATAAGTAACTGTAAGCAGTTGGGGAAACAAAAGATCTCTCTCTATATGTGCATATACACACACGCATACATACACCCGCCCCCCCCCATAGGAACACACATATAAGGTTTCTTTTGGGGATGGTGGAGGAAAGAAAGAATGAGGGTGAGAAGCGAGGGGTGGGAATTCAAGGTATTCTGAATTCAAAAGAAGTTTTGGAAGAATTTTACTATCGGACAAAAATCAAACATGTCATTCTTAAAAATAATAATAAGCTTGTTTTTCTTCCTGGCAGCAATTTTTATTTTAAACAGGATGTTACGGTCCCAGACTCCTCCTCTTAAATCATCCTATAGCGAAACTGTAATATCCAGAGTAAGAAAACTAACGCCATAATATCAGTTGCGGTGGCTCAAATTAAGGACTCGACTGGAAAAGAATCTATGACAAGGGAAACGCTGACACACACTTATCGTCTGCTATTGCAAAGGACAGTACAGCTCTCCAGTGCAAAGGATAGCTGTCTGAGTATTCTCAAGTGCCAAAACAGTTACGTATATGAATTATTCCACTGACATCAATGGGACTGTTCACATGATTGAACTGTTTTGCTGAATCAAGGTCTAAATAAAAAGGAAGAGCTGAGAGATGTCCAAAAAGGGCTCAGTGATGTCAACAGTGATTGCTTGACCTCTGCAACATGCTGCCTCTCCTGTGAAGTAGATAATGTGTGACGAACCCAGAGGGTACGTTTTACCATTCAACTGACTTTAAGACCTCACCACAGGATTAAGATTTATAAAACAAACTCACAGTGAAAAAGGGCAAAAAACTTAATTTTGATAAAGTTACTTACAAGCCTTCCCTGAAGCCATCAATCAGTGCTTGAAAAAGAGGTTTGTTGTGGGGGATTGTCTGAAGAATGTTCCCATCTGCAGTGACATAGCCAATAGCCCACTGACCGAGTCGTGTACAACTCAATCGGAAAATATAACTAAAAAAGCACAAAGGAAAAGAAACTTCAGTTTGGACTGGAACAGACAGGAAAGATTAAATGTCAAGTAGGCAGACTTTGTCTGGCTATCTCAAGACAGCAAATAAAAACTAGTAGGAATAACTTGATGATTTATACCAGCTTTCCTCAATTTACCCCCAGGCAGATAAAAGGAGAACTTGCAATCTGATACAAAGCGAGAAAAGCATCCAAGCACTGGCCTCCAGGTGAAATTAAACCCAGAATCCAGAGCAAGAAAAGTTAGCATCCTTAAAATCATTTGTTTCAAATTAACTTTAAAAAAACCCCAACAAACAACAAAACCAACAAACAGACTACACAAGGTTTCCATTTTTAAAACCAGCACAGAACTAACAGTATAGTAACAACCTCCAGAAATGAACACTTGGCCCTTCCTGCGTAAAAAGAAATCTGTTAGCCCTGTTGCATTGGGCCAAGTTCTACCCAGGTAGGGTAGCCCAAAACTGCTCAGGTCCACAGTCCCCCCCAGAAGCATGTGTTGCCCCCCACAGCCTCTGAAGTCCACCCAGCCCGCAGCATTACCTTGCAGTCTACTCTGCCTACCATGCTGCTTTCTGCCAGCGCAAACATTGGTCAGCTCCCTTGTCTGTCTGAAGTTGGCTTCAAATGTACACACTGCTTCTGGAGGCTGCAATCTGGTCAGCTCTCCTGGCTTTATGCATATACACCAGAAAGTTACGGGTCCTATAGATACATTCCCTTATCCATGGTCCTAAACAGCCCACCGTTTAGGCTCACTCTGGCAGTGTCTGTGTCTGTGTTCTGCTTGTGCCCGAGGGAGCTGTTGTGACAATTGTGGGGGTGGGCTGGAGGTAAGTCACCTCACAGAGGATGATCTCCAAGTACAGGGCAAGCTAGGGTTTTTCACAGTTTAAATTTCTGAGGAAGGAGGACAAAGACAAAATAAAACCAATCTCCTCAGACAGTGTAGTAATCAGCGACGTTATCAAGAATGATCAAAAAAGCCACTGCTGCCAAGCACTAACCTGCCAGGTTTGTGAATGAATTTCTGAAGCCGGGCTTTCACCTCATCATACGTTAGGAATGCCATATAACCAGGATGAGTCACCGCTAGGCTATTCCAGTTCCTGAGCAAAGAGGACCATGGCTATAGAAACAACAAAGAATTATATTAACCATGCACTTCTAAAAGGTATCAACACATATAATATTCCTTAATCAAAGGGATCAGTTCTTCAGTTAAAGAAGCAGGTTTCTTATCCCACCATAAATCCAGTAGAGGAACTAAAACCTACGTTCTCATGCAGCAGCCTTAGCATTTGATTTTCTCCCTTGTCGGTGATAAAAACATCACCTAAGACAGACCTTAATCAAAACTCCTTTAATAAATGCCAAGGGAGAAGTCACTGAGGTCACAAAAAGACAGCTCAAGAATAGCTACCAATTTGTGCTGCTTCTGCAGAGACAATGACTCATTCCTGAGACAGGGATAAAGACAGGAGTTTAATAAGATTATGCACAGGACCAGAAACCATGACTAGTCTGATCTCTAACACCGACTTCCTATACAGCCTCAGGAAAGTGACCTCCCCTCTCTGTCTCAGTTTCACTGTGTGTAAGATGCTTGTGACTATTCCTTAACCACCTAATCTCACTTGGGTGTGGCAAGGATTACTGGCTAGTCTAAGATTTGAATAAATAAACCAGCACATACAGGTTAAATATTCCTTAAAATGATGCACAAAAAGTCATAAAAACAGTTTGAAAGCTCTCAATCCTGAGAAGGGCTTGGGTGTCTAAATCTCATCCAATTTTTCCAAATTTCTCAACTTGTCTAAAAGAAGATATTAGCTCTCCCTAAGTACTTTGCATCTCTTGGAAATTGCAGCAACTCTTAACTTGCTCTTTATGTACTATAGTTGGAAAAATTACTGAATGAGATCAGCTACATTGCAACACCGAACATGGGAATTTTTCATCTAGACATATCTTAATTACAACTCAACTATCACATGGGAAAAGGCAAGTCAGAGCCAAAGAAGTAAGTGTTTGCTCTTGTAAATACCCAATTGCACCATCAGAAGCTCTGGTTTTGAGTTTAGCACTATTAAAGACTGTGGGTTAGAATTTTACCTACTACTAATATCACTTCAGTAATATAGATATTTCTCATGCACAGAACACAGACATGTCCACAACATCCTGGCTGTGTCAGTTCAAAAGCTAGGAAGCCCAAATTTCCATGCTTGTGCTCCATCCTGAACAAGGCCCCCCCCCAAAAAAAAAAAGTCTGACGAGAAAGAAAAGGATAAGGAAAGACAGACTGATAAACTAAGCTTCATATTTCCTGGCTTACAGAAATTGTGTCAGAACTTCAGTCTAAAAGTGACCTTTGAAAGGGAAAAACTGATTCATGGGAGGATACTGAATGTGCCTTACAGTTGCGGTATGTATTTAGACAATTTTTTCTTCTACAACCAGAAGTATCACATACTTTTACTGCAATGTAGGGTCCTGAGTATTACTAGAGCTGTTTAGGGGATGAAGGGCAAGATGACCAAATCCCTTACAGCATAAATAATGTCATTTTAGTGTGTAAAATATAGTTTGTCCTGGGAAGAGTCTAACCTAAAGCAGTGAGACACATTTCAAGTGATTCACGTTCCTCAATTCTTACCTGAAAAAGACGTGTGAAGATATCAAATTCAAATACTGAAATGTAGTCATTGCATGTCAAGTCAATCGTTGACTTCAGGGCCATAGCTTCCAGCCCTGAACTGATTGGATGCACTTCATGCAAGGCCTGACGGAAGCTTTTCCAAGGAACGATAGTCCTGGGGAAAACCAAGCCATCTGTAAGCGTGATATGCCTGAAGACCACCACTACGTACATACCTTATACATTTTTTTTGTGAGTACGCACCTCATGATAATGGAAGAGAGCAAAATCAAAATTAGCCGCAAGAGATTTATTCATGTTATGCAAGCATGGCATTTCTTGGTACTGCAGGAAATTAGCAGCCAAATGAACTTTAGACAAATTTCTCTGCATGCAAAATTTTGGAATCTGAAGTCCAGCTCTGCTTTCTCCTTTGCCTTTCTGTGCAGTCCTATCATGTCAACACTTGTATGTACCCTGGGCTGTATACAACACCATCACTTGATAAGAATATCATAATGTTGCAGCTGGTAGATAAGGAGTTAACAGTAATAGAGGTCTAGACAGTTAAAAAAAATAAAAAAGCTGCAAACAATTCTCTAAAGAGGGATTAACTGGAGAAGTAAGATAATCAGAAGCCAGAACAGAGGCTCCTGTTTAAAGGAATATTTTCCTTCTTTTAAAATATCAAGTGGAATAGAAACATAGAAGGAACATGTCTAGCTTCAGACAACTGTGTTATTCATGAGTAAATATATTATTGCTTTTTGTTCTGACAGCTACTAATTAAACTCTTTAAGTGAAGTACCTTAGTTACCTTAGTTAGAAAGCAGTACCCAATTCCATTAACTTTAATCCTCAAACGTTGCTGTGGACACCTCTACAGCTCATTTAGTTAGCGTTTTATTAGATACAAAAATTAAACCTGACATTTCAACAGTTTCCACGCAAATACACATTGCATTTCACTTTCTCCTTCATTGTATCTTAACAAAGCCATTATGCAAACTGACAAAAGTTCAGAGAAGCCAGAAGAAAGGTGACTAAGTGATTGGAAAGACTAATTGGAGGGAAGATGAAAAGAATTTAATATAATGGCTTAGCTAAAGGACAACTAATATTGGGGGCATAGTAACCTTTGGAAGAAGAAAGCAGATTATTTTGCATAGTTCGTGGACCTTACTTACAAGTTAAGGAATTAAATTAAGGAGAGGAAAAGTTAAGCTGAATAATAGAGGGAAACTCCATGACAGTACAAGAGTCTCCTAGGGAAAGTGGGGAAAGACCCATCACTTGACACATTTAAAACAAGACAGGACAAAGAACTAGGAAATATAATGTAGGAACAATCCTGTATCTCACCCCAGAGAGTGGACCAAATGACTAGTAGCTCTCTCCCATCGCTCATTTTAACCTGACAAAGACCTTTCTGAACCGCAAAACAGAATTTTTAAAAATACACAGTGCTGTGTGCAATTTGTTCCCACATCTCTATTTTTAAACACAGTTAGAAACTTACTTTTCGCCAAAAGCCTTTCTCCAAAATTCTGCAGCATCTGCCTTGGTGATCCGGAACGTGTCTCCCTGGAAAAGGCCACTTGGGAAAATACCTTTGAGTTCTGCCAGCATATGGCTGAATATCAGGGATAACTTTGTCAGGTTACGTCTACAAAGGACCACAAAAACAAACATTTCTTTTAGAAAAGACAGACCTGGTTTAGCACTCTGAACAAAACAGAAATAGTACCTATTGCAATTCAAGAAGTATCCCAGCCTAGAAAACTCCTCTTATTTGGGACCACCTTTCAAGTATTTACCCAGCATTCAGAACACATCCGTCACACGGTACTTATCGGCAAGGTCTGTGTTTGTCAAGACATTTTCCACAATGACTACCTTTGCATAATCTCTTTGAGGCGGGCAGGTTATTTCCAAGGCAACCCCCCCCAAGGAAATGCATTCACAGAAAATATCCAAAACCAATATTCATGCATTACCGATTAAATAACAGCATAATTGGGGCCAAAACCTCATCAGACTCCTTTTCTCTTGGGTCTGACAATTCCTTATGAGATCACATAAAACTACTGCCTTGGATCATGTAAGATGAATGTCTTTCCAAGTCTCCAGAGGGTCCCAACACAGTAGATTTGCTCAAAGAACATCTAACCAATAATAACAGGCCCAGCTCGCAAGGGAAGGTCAAAACACCTGCAGTTTTCTTCTAAAATGGTAATAACTTACATACAAAAGCTTGACAGTTAGGGCGCTCAACTACATTGTGTTGAGTAGTTATCCAATTTGAATTACAAATTGGTACCACAAGTCCCTTCTCTGCCTGATGACACACATATATCAGGAGTGCTCTAGTCCATCAGGGTATGCCCTTTATCTAAACTGGAGAGAGAAAGTTGGAGAAGAAGAGAAGAGATATTGTCTGCTTTGGATTTAGTCAATGTGCAAAAGATTTCCAGAAATAGAAGACAGGAGGACTACTGCTTAGCAGAGAGGACACAGCAGCATTGCGAGCATTTTGGGTTACATGCTTCACAAGAAACTTGCATTGGATTGGCATCAAATCCCAGCAATACAAACTGCAGCCCAGGACTGCTTCCCAGCTTGCAGTCTTAGCAACTATGTGAAGGAGGTAAGCTCTATGTTGTAACTGTGCTATGCAGAAATAGAGCTAGCTTGGGTACCTCAAAGCATCAGTGCCTGTAGCACTACAGGAATACCAAAATAACAGTCTTCCTACTTAGGAGTCAAACAATAGCACTATGACACACTAGAGAGGTTGTCTTCTACTCGTAGATGGAAAAAAAATCTGTTCAGTAGTGGCACCTCTTTTTCTCATTCCTTTATCCAAATAAAGGATGACTCTCTTCTCCTCCACTCCATTATATTCTCCAGATGCTAGGAAAATTGAGTTCCTGAAGAGAGACAGAGATATTTCTAGGTCAGAGGCTTTTTTTCACCCCCACGTCACATGCCTGAAGGTAAAAGAAGGAACTAGTATCACGTGGGAAAGGACAACTTCTATGTCCCAACAGACTGGAGCTGCTCAGAAGACTGCATCAACCATCAAGGCATTGCACAGACTCAGTCATGACACTGAGCAACAAGTTATTTTGCAGACTGCAAAATACCGAACCATTTAGAAAGGGGCTAGAAGCATCCCCAGTCACATAGCATTTCCTTAATGCCTTGTTTTCCAAGCTCTCTCACTAAGTGTGCTACTATTGTAGTGTGCCATCTTGCTGAAGACAGCCGTGTTTGGCAGAAAACTAAGCTCCCCCCAGGTTTCAGCCTTTCACCAATTTTTAGTATTCTGGTTGGATTGGTTCTGATTTACTTCATCTTGGACATTTTTAAGATACCACAGTATCTGACAGTAGTTGTCCTCTCTTACCCTTATTTATTCAACTACATTTTAATTTGTGTCTCAGCAATGAAAGCTGCTCGAAGTGTTTATAGAAGGTGCCAGCTATACAGCAAGGGATTCTGGTTTTTGTCATTTCATACATCTGATAACAACAGGTGCTCAAGATTAACATAAGTAAAACCACCCAGATGCTCTTCTGTAGGCTGCTCCATTCAGCAGCTCTCTACTGGATGCGTTACACCGTGTGTAGTTTAAAGCAGCTATACAATTTGGCTGTTTGATTCTATAAACACCGACTGAAAAGCTTTGTTGTTCACCACTCTTTGTCAGTTAACTAGCCTCCACAGAGGGGCTGTCAGAAAGTCCCCTTGCCTTACTAGTGTATCACAATTTCCAGTCATCTTGCTTTTGCAGTTTTGTTATACCTTTGCAGTGCTACTGTAATTCCTTGCCTTCTGCTTTTAGGAAGGTTTATTCAGCACATCTTAAAAAAACCACAACTATACAGGATTCCGTGTGTAGGAAAAACTAAGCTGTATCAGAACAGCAAAGTAGCGGCTTCCTATGTGATCACAATCACATTTATGAAGATCAGTGGCTCAGGCCCTAGATATATGGATACACAAAGAAGCTGCAGCAGTACAAAACCAGGCTGTTGCCTTATCAGTAGTATCTGTTTGTGCACTTCCCCACCCTGGTGTAATGTTATGTAATTCAAAGTTGTGTATTCCTCTTTCCAGTAGCAGATAAGCAACTTTGCATTCACCAGGGGAAGGGTCAGATTCTGAGACACAGCCACTGGCTAATCCTACAGAGGAGATGATTTAACTGTACACTCACACCCCAGCTCCCTTCCTCCCTCCAGGGGGTAGGTTCCCACCATATCCCTGCAATGCCTTTGGCTGACAAACACTAGAAAAATTGCAAGTCAGAGGTTCTAGCTGCAGAGCTTGTTCCCCAAGCCATCTTCCGAAAGTCCTCATTTCCATAAAATGACAGAAAAGATGACAGTTTATGGCAGTGCAAGGAGGGGAAAAAAAAAAGCAAACACCATGCTATTATGAATCATTTAATCCATCTGCAACTCAAGCAAAAAAAAGATGGTATTTGTTTTTACTAAGTTTATAAAAATGGAGGCTTGAGCAAAAAATGCTAATTATTTTGTTACACTAATGTGGAAGTAATTCTGAATCATTTCCTTGAAGGGTTAGCATGCGATATTTGTGTGCAATCTTAGCAGGTAAAGTGGCATCTCACAGCAATGCATTACTGCCAAGTGACTTCCAGAAAGCTAGCAATCCTAAAGCTGTTTAGGTATACGGCACAAGCTAGCACTGACTTGATAGCACTCTTAACACTTGAAAAATCATGTCCTATTTGTGAAAAAATTCTAAGCATGCTTGAAACCAACATATGCAGTATCTGGTAGACAGAAGGAAAGTCATTTCAGGCACATACTCTCCTATTGCTGCCCAGCACAGTGTGAAAATTTGGGTATGACCAGGCAAGCACACTCATGCATTTCTGACCCTCGAACAAGAAGCTAAGTGAACAAGTGCACGGTTTAAACAAAGCAACAGTTAATACTGCAAGAAGACAAGGTATATTCCTGTGTCCAGTTGCTTACGGCTTCTGCCTAAGAGCCTTCTTCCTTAGCTGAGTTTCAGGAAGCGCTTGCACTCAGCTGAGCACATCATTTCAGCGAGAGAAAGAAAAACTTCTGCAGGGTTAAGGATGGATAAACAAACGATTTTACACACACAAGCACATATTGAGGGACTCTGTTTCCAAAAAAGTTTCTAATACCTGAACATTTTCAATTCTTAGGGTTATCATCATTTTTTTTTTTTTTTTTTTTTTTAAACATTCAGCTGCATCTTAGGTAAATAACAGGAAACACAGGAAGTGAACATAAAGAGCAGCAAACTGCAGAACATTTTATGCTAGTAACTAGCTTCTACATACAGCAACTAGTTACCAGTCCTGTGCTAAAAGGACAAACATTTTCTTTCAGGAGTACACTCCTTTATTTGAACAAGCCAAGTTACACATTTGTAAATTAATACAGACCAAATAAATGCTTGCAATTACAGTGAACATTGACCATTTTCTCTTAGGGTTAACATCATTTTTTTTTTTTTTTTTTTACAAACATTCAGCTGCATCTTAGGTAAAAAACAGGAAACACAGGAAGTGAACATAAAGAGCAGCAAACTGCAGAACATTTTATGCTAGTAACTAGCTTCTACATACAGCAACTAGTTACCAGTCCTGTGCTAAAAGGACAAACATTTTCTTTCAGGAGTACACTCCTTTATTTGAACAAGCCAAGTTACACATTTGTAAATTAATACAGACCAAATAAATGCTTGCAATAACAGGAAACACAGGAAGTGAACATAAAGAGCAGCAAACTGCAGAACATTTTATGCTAGTAACTAGCTTCTACATACAGCAACTAGTTACCAGTCCTGTGCTAAAAGGACAAACATTTTCTTTCAGGAGTACACTCCTTTATTTGAACAAGCCAAGTTACACATTTGTAAATTAATACAGACCAAATAAATGCTTGCAATTACAGTGAACATTTTTTATTGGCATATCAAAGTGTAGTGATTATGACTGTATTTTATTTTTAGTAACATCAGCAACTGTCCTCATCACCATTGCTTCAACTAAACAGAAGCAAGAGTTCTCCCAGAAAAAGGGTAATATTTTCAAAGAACACTTAAGTGACTTAGACCAGAGATTCCCAAACATTTTTGGCCACAGACCTCCAGCAACCTTCCATGTTTCTTATAGACTAGGATGGCCCTCTTTCAAACTTGTAGCTAAACACAAATACTGTTACCAAGAGTTGCACCAGAGGTATGCCAACCACAGTTTGGGAATCACTGACTTAGGCACCTAAATCCCATTGACAGTCAGTAGAATTTAAACACCTGTCATATAAGCACTTTTGAAAACATTACCCAGGGACCGCAAGCCACATCAGTTTGCAACTGAGCTGAAGGCAACACCTGTACCAACCTCAAATGAAAAACTACAGCATGTTTCTGTTCAGTAGTTAGGTCCAGAGACAGAGCAAGAGCTACAGTTTAGGTAGGATTTCATGTTCGTGAGAGTGCTTTCACACATACATGCACAGTATTCAGCTTATTATTGTTAGATAGTGAATCAACCACATATGGAAAAAGTGAAAGCTTAGAAAGCCAAATATTTTTCCACTCTATACAGTAACCAAATATTTTACTAAGAAACATCTCCAGTTCTAGCATGGAGGC